AAATCCGAGTTTAAAATATATGTATGTATGTATGTCGACCTCAACAGTTAACATTCACACAAAGAGGAGCGTTTGAAACTTGCAGAGAATAGTAAGGAAGCTTAAGTCGCCCTGAATTGTGTCGGATGTTTTAAAATCACATAGCACCAAAAGTAGGCGACACTAGTTTTTAGAAGAATGACTGATAGTAAAACGATGGCATTTTTTCAGATACGACATTTAGAGACACTTATTCTAGACTAAGAAACAATACATACTAAATCAACCTGTTTTTAAACAATTAAAATAGCAGTTTATGATTCTTATGCATGGTTGATTGAACATAGTAAGGAAAGTGCTAAAAGAAACTTTCAGAAAATTAACTTGAAAGATTGTTACTTGGGAAAGTTTTGCTTCTTGGCAACTGTTAAATTACAGTTATTTATTTACTCTTTATACCTCCCTGGTAGCCAGGGTAGGCAAACTAATAACCATTTATTAAAACGCAGAAATAGTTTGTGTGCTTTAAACGCAAATAAACAGAAAATTTCGAAATTGTAACGGCAAATTGATTATTAAAAATGTATCTTAAAACTTCACATCAACGCAATTTAAACAATTTAGTTAGTGTATATAAAACTCTCATTTCTATTTCAGTACAAATTCAGTGATGAATTATGACAGAGATTTGGAACGTGGAATTTTTTTCATTTCCAACGTAATTACTATATTCACAGTCTACAGGCTACCTTACCTTAAGTCCATCCTGCAGTAGTTTACATTTTATACCTAATCCGTACTTTAGTCTGCAGTTAACAATTTAACCCTAGTTTTGACCCGGCGACTATTCGCCTGAACGACTGCTAAATGTTTCACTTGTGATTAATGAGTCGTTAAAATGAAAAGAATTGCTCTATCCCTCCTCTACTTCCACTGGTATCAATAACGAAAATAGTCAGCGCCTAGTGGACGATGGGAACAGAAAAGGCAAATTCCTCTCCTACCCTTTTCCCATCATCCCTCGCGTGCTAGCGGCACACTGAAGAGGCCTCCGCGTTGCCTTTGCGCAGGTCAAAGGAATTGCTATCATTAAAAGTCTTCTGTATTTTGCTTCAAATTCCTGATGTAAATGGTGCGTTAATTCACACGAGGTTAAAACGGAATCCATTAGAAAATTGAGTAATTTTATTTTTTATTTGACAAAAACCTTGTACCAGAATAACTTCAAGCATATTCATTATTGCACCCTTTTTTGACACTTTTCAAGGGCCATAAAAGTAATAAGTTATATGAAACAACTCCAACGAAAAGGTTCTTATGGGAGCTCGAGAAAACAAACTTCAAAAGCTTCAAATTTCACAAAATGAAATCTTACGCATGACGATTTACTCGTGTTTTTTCAATTCTTGTGAGATTTGAAAATTATTTTCTCGGGTTCCCATAAGCAATTGTCTTTGGTGTTATGGGCGAATCTTTGTTTACACTTTTTGCCTCATTAACGTACGCTTATCACTATCTGATGATGCTAATAAAATAATATATAGATTTAGCCAGGGCTAAAAGCGAAGCTCCCATTAATAAATTTATAATTTAAATCAAACAATAAACTTGTGATCCACAAATCAGTTAACTTGAGGGCACATTCATGTGACTTTTGAGGGAAAGGCTAAGTTATTTTAGAGTGAAACATCTTACATCGAGTTGATAGCCTTATATATACACCTAAAAAAGAGCAAACATCTTCGATCACATTCAAGAGCCATAATGGCTCTTGATCACAGCTGTAGATAAGGCCTCGAAAACAAATTCTAGGAAAACAAATCAGGCTGAATTTTTTGCGTTCGACAGGTTTACTTTACAAATTCTTGCCAACAAATCTGGAGGTGTGTAAACCAACCTTTTATACTTTTTATACACGATCTGAGGTGAAACAATACGTACAATTTATCATACAGACCTCGGACAGAACACGGTATTTCACAATTTTTTAACACAAATTGCACTCAGTCAATGTTCGGGACGATCAATCGTGGGCTTTTAGCGAAACCGTTAAAAAAATTTCCAAAATCACTCATTAGGCCGGCCGGTTCTCGTTGCTAGTGCGAGCTGTCTGTGTAATCGAGTGTTTCAATGAACTTTAAAAGAGTTACGTTTCAACATAATAACGAATTTATTATTATAATTTTTTGTTATTTAATGGTTTCAGTTATAACGATGTGTAATCTTATAAAGCGTTTGATACGCGCGACATTTTTTTTAAAGTACTCCTGCAAGCGATGTTCATGAACGATGAAAACAAACGCCACGGACGAGCGATTAAAATTGCAAGAGAGTACTAACAATCAATAAAAGAAAGATAATTCGGTGAAACATTTACAGAGACAACAATTTTCATTCACGAAGACAAGTATTAAAGTGTCTCTAAAAATTGTGAGTCTTTAAACTTAAAAGTTAATCATGTTTTACTGTAATTTCAGCCGGTCTCACGGTGTTTGTTTTTTTCAACGATGCCACTTCTTGAAGCAAGAAATCGAAGCAAGAAAATCGCTCAAAGTTTTCTTTCTACAGCCAAATTTATAGCTAAATATTCTTCGGAACGTTTTCTTTCTATTTGCGGTGAGAAAATATATCTGAAGGCTTTTCACAGTTCTGTAAGCTTATATCAAAACTGATACTAGGTCAGATCATTGACTCAAATCTTACAAACGTGCATAAACTTGCTGCATAAACTTTACTCGACTTCATGAAATTAGATATAACAAAAACAAACATCAAATACAATAATTACTCAGGCTTACCATTCGAGATTCGGTTCCTGAAAGATATCATGGAAGGCCACAGTTACCTGAGACTTTTAAGCCCTCTTACGCATTAAGCAAGGTGGAAAACGAAAACGATGCAATCCGAAATCGGATTACCGAATTTTGACAAGCAACGCATTTCTCAACCAAAAACCCAATAAACAAACCAGCCATGAATAACAGGAGACTCTTGATAGCAGCTGTATTTCATTTTGTACATCCAGTGGAGAAGACAGTTAAATACATCACAAGTTGACACAAAACTCTGTCAGCTTCTGCTCTCAAAGTAAACAACTTTCATGATGCTGCATAAATTTCCGCATGAACTCACCTGTCAATTTTTGACCAACCAGAGTATAAAAATTGGACGTAGAGCGTGACCAACGCGTGACCATGGTAATAATAGTTCTTCCCCGCCTGTATTTAAAAAAAAAATGGTTGAATTTTCGCGTCCGAGGTCAGTTTGAAATCAAAATCTTAACATTGCGGGGTCATAGTGACATAAACACAACATATTTCATATGAATCATTGGAAAAAATGAACTTGAGCCTATGATCATTTGAAACTGGTAATTTGTCAGCGGATAACTTCAAAAAAATACTCGACCTCGATGGGTGAACACTTGAGCCCGCGGTACGGTCAGGTGATACTGGTCAGCGGGTGCCGTCTTTTGACAGCTGTCAATTGATCACAACATTGATGTGCTATTAGTTTTTCCCTGGGCTCCCAAACTAGCTAGAAAGTGTGAGAGTAGACATTGGTTCTCCTGTGGTGCGGACGGACGGTCGTACGGTCACGTGATTACCAAATTTTCTCGAATGGGTAGATTACCACGTTTCCTTACCTATGGGGCTCCGCCCACGCTCGCGCGCTTCGCGCGCGGGTGGAGCTCCGCTAAAAACTCTGAATATTGAAAGGGCAGAACAGTTTCACTAGTCTCTGAAAATTTGAACTCAATGCACCGACAGGTGTTGGAGAAATTCTCTTCTAAAAAGTGGAAATTTTACTGCGAAAGTATGGCTCATTAACTTTTTGCCCACACAGCAATTTCGCAGTTTTTGATGGCTGATATACCCTTCAATATTGCTTGCAAAGAGCTGAAAATTGCACAAATTGCTCAACTTAATCAGCTCTTTCAACTTTTGCATTTAGTTCATATATACCGCCACAGATTCTATGAGTTTTAAAAACGTATGCTAATGAGAGAAAATTTAAAACAATGACGTCAGCAAAGATTCACCTATTTAAGATGACAAATTATATCAATAGCCCTTGAAAAGTGTAAATAAAGGTGCAATATGGCCTAAAGATTCTGCTACAAGGTTTCTGTCCACTGAAAATTGAAATTACTCAATTTTTTGATGGATTCCGTCTTAAAACTTTTGCCGGGACTAGATTAAGAGTGAATTCTCTCTAACACGGTCCGATACTAGCAGTGTAGGTCTTAGTGATGTTGCCGTCTTTTAAAGGGACAAGCAGATGATCGACCTGTTCTAGGTGTTAATTTTAGGGAGGCGTCTGTGACGGCTGCATTATTCTATAGAGCCTTTTCACACACGTGACCAGCAACTATACAAATTTTCTAGGAACAAAAGAAAAGACAGTATATGCAACACCAATATCCGTTTCATTGTCTTGGGACACCACAGAGTATGGCGGATATGGACATGACGTCATGTGAAAACACTCTTTTGGGCGTTTTCACATGAACGTTTTCACGGTGGCCACATTGGTGTCCCAAACCAGTCCTGTAGGAGTTGAACTCTTTTCTTACGTAAACGCTTTCTTTTGTTCCAATACATTTGCATCGATGCTGGCCACGTGAGTGAAAACGCTCTATAGTTGCCGCGTTCTGCCTTTGAACAACAGGCTCCCGAGGAAGCGTAGTAAATATAAGATGAAGAAAGACTCTTTTCTTCCCCTCCTCATTCTCCCCTCGGTCTTTCGTTACTTTTCGCTCCCAATGATGATTACAACGAACTTAACAACATGTTTTCGCGGTGAGGCCACAAGTTTTATTTAAGATAACGTCATTGTTCTTAGTCTAATTGCATTACAAGTTGCACAAACCTTACAGAAAATTAATTAACTATTAAAGCGAATTGAAATCTAGAGAATTTCTTGCCTACAGAAGCTAAAATTGAGCTAGATTGTTTTCAGAGACTAGCGTAGTGTACTGAAAACAAACGATTACTTTCCTTGATTCTTATCAAGCAAGCTCAAACACAAGAAGAGGGAATTTCAAACGCGGCACATCCTTTAACTCCGTACATAAAATCGGACCATTTGTAGACGTCTCTTCTGATTCCAAGGTTACTGGAGCAAGATTCAGAAAAAGAAATGATAGCGTCTTTTGGCAGGACATAGGACCACACATTAACCCTAGCCAAGTTTCCTACAAAGCTCTGGTCTTTCTCGAAGCGGCCGCCGATATCATGTTGTTCTTGTCCAAGAACCAGAGATCCCCCATCCTTGATGGTGTAGCCCTTCTTAAAGTCTGTCTCTTGTTTTTCCATTGCTCCATCTTTGAAGAACTGATTTAGTGCCATCGTCGTTGTTCCATGTCACGCAGATAGCGTGCCATTTACCATCATTTGCCGATATCCCTGTCCTGCTGTCAGTGAAAAAGAAAGTTACTGTGCCATACCGAATAATCCGCATTATCAAAACAGCTGAGCTAAAACAACCTCGTGTCTGCGCTATTGATGTCATCAGTACACGATATCGCAAACGTCTTTCAAATTTGTTTAACGCTAGCTGGTTATAAAAAATTGTCCATTGTATTTGAGCCAAACAGTGAGGAAGAAATATTTTGAATGAATATATATTTTTTTGGCTACCTCAGTGATTTCGGGATTTCTCGTGTTGGATTGTTCGGTTTAGTATGGCTGGATATTGGCCTCATTTTTTTTTTTTGCGTTTTCATTGACCATGATTTCGTCTTGTAACATAACAACGCGAAAGAAAACAGCTTGGTCAACATTCATTCATTACATACGACTGCTCCTGGGAGCGGCGCTTATTCGAGGGCAGCTATCTTTTTTATTCAAAGCGTTATTAACTTAAAATATCCACACTCTGGCTGGATTCACCGAATAAAATCGAAATCTGAAACTGAAGGGTAAGTCCTGGTAAGTGAACCTGCTTTTAATGCGCGAGATCAAGGTTTTATGGTTCCCAACGCTGAAGAATCCAATTTCGAATTTTCGGTTTTTCTATTTTTTTTTTTTTCGTTGATAAGAATCCGTTTGGCCCCAGATTTAAAATCTCTACTATTAGTGTCGAGTTTTTCCAAAGAAATACACCATTAATTGTATATAACTTACTTCTTTTCACCACCAATACGTAATGCAAAGTCCTTGTAATTAGCCAAGAGCAGTTCGTTATCCTGTCCTGGAACGGCATAGCTAAATGGCACTCCCTCTTTAGTGCCGCTTGATTTCATCCAGAAACAGACGGTAAACGCACTCAAACTGGACATGTTCCACACTTGGGCATAATTGGTCTCTTCTCGTTTTGGAAAACGAAGAGCAAAATCTGTAAATGATGAAAAAGCAACAGACGCGTACGTCAATGTTTTCGTTTTATAAGAATGCAGGGCACTGAGTTCTCCCCTGTCAGTATTGCGTCAATGGGGAAGTGAAATACAAAGATTCGGTTTTATCAACTAGTGTCTTGGCCACTGTAACGACAAAGAGAAGCTGATTTTTTTAGCCTTTCGTCAGAGAGCAAATCAGGGGATTGTTGGTTGCGGGTTGGGTTTATGTACAGGGGTTTGTTGAAACTGTTCAGTGGTAGGAGCATGGTAAAAATTAAACAGGGTGGCAGGGTGGCGCATCACGCTGACTTTTTTTCGGCCATCACGCATCATGTAAATGAGGTTCAATTGCAGTTAGTTAATAATATATCATCCCTTGAATGAATTAGCTCTAAATTGCTTTCAGGGTCCTTTTGGGGTAGAAAAGTCTGTGTGTATGTCTGTGCTTCTAGTTTCAAATGATATTCACCAATCACTGAAATCTATAAAGAAATACTCGCGTCACAGGTTGTGAATATAGAAAATCACGCACCATACAGCAGAAATAGCAGATATGCCCAATCACTCCTCACGCGGCTAATTTGTGCCCGATCACGCATCTCGCTGATAATTTGTGACCCATTACGCGTCACGGAATACCCCTTTGCCACCCTGATGAAAAAACGTTACACTCTCACTTGGGAAGAGCATCCATTCTTGTCCCCAATCCCCTCACCTTTATTCCATGTCCCTTTCCTATTCGACGCTTGCAAAGGAGGCTATAAAGTTCTAGGCAATAATTTTCATTCGAACAGTTATTTTACAGAAAGGTGTCGTTGGTTACCCCTAAGCTTTCCTTAATTTCTTTTGACCAAAAGAAGACGGAAATTGTTCCAATTCTTCTAATATACGTGTCCGGGAGCTCATCAGGGGTTGAAGGGCTCCTAGCACGTCTTACTGTCTCTTTGAACATCACAACGGTAAAGGTATGACTTAGGGACTGTGCAATAATTATCAGGAAGGGGGGGTCCTAAAATGAGCTTCACCAAAGGAAAAATCAACGAATTCGTCTCTGCTTGGAAAATGTGCTCTTTGGAATTTTGACGGAAAATGCTTGCCCTTTACTTCAATTGCTGAACTATTTTATAATTATTGGAAAACTCTCTTTGTGGGACTGCAGGAGCAAACAAATCCTTCCAAACATTTATGGATTTAGAGCCAAGATCGTCGCTAAATATGAAACAGAAGAAAAAATCAGCAACAAAGAATTCTTTAAAAGAAAGTGGATACTGACGTCTTATTTAAGTTAACTATATTAACTCCGTATTATTTCATTGCCCTGTTGTACTTTTTTATAATTTCTTTTAGCCCTGTAACACCTCCTGTAATAATTTGACAATTTTTTTTGCTTTACTCTGTTAATGTCTATTGTTAAAGTGTTTTTTTTGTTTTGTAAATGTATTTTATTTAATGTGATTATCAATAAACATATTTTAAAAAATATATATATTTAGACATTATGGATAGTCAAAGGAGTGGCATCTGTCTATTTGCAAAATGTTTATTTATTCATTATCGAATTTGTGAAATTTAATTAAGACCCCCCCTCTACTTACTTGAGAAATCTAATGTAGAGCCCCCCCTCCTTTCCATTATTTTAACATAAGCCCCCCTGGTTTTAGGGCCCCTCCTGATAATTATTGCACAGTCCCTTACTCTCCATGGGGTAACTGCTGACGAGTCCGGCAAAGCAAAGAACGAGCGAAGCAAGTAACGAGAACATGGTGCAGTCGTAGCTTAAAGTTAAAAAAAAGAAACCTTCTTAGACAACTTTTAAAACTAAATTTGCTAAGCCTTTATCAAGGGCTGAAAGATGTTTTAACACTAAAAAAATTGTATTGATTAGTGTGTTTTCAAGAAGGAAAAGGAATAACACATCGACCTGTGGGCGGTGGCGGTTTTATATACATGCACCATCATTTTAAATCGCATGATCTTGTAACAAGTTATACGTTTTCTTTTCTTTTTCGCCTGACCCACTTGCTTTTCCAATAGAGCGGGCGATGGGAAATAAAACACACACTACAGGGATACGGCGTTTAAAGCTTAGATTGCAGATTAGCCAAAAAACGGTTTTTTTACGCTTAGTTTAAACATAGTAATGCTTCAGGTTTCTACTATCTCTGAGCAAATGTCATACATCAAAAGATGCTGATAAACAGTGTTTGGTTTCTACAGGCTCAAATGAATAAAAATCGTAGGAGAATTTGCAAAATGATCAGTTAAGATGGGGTTTATAACTGCATAAAATAAAAGGTGAATAATTCGAAATTCCTACATTCACTCTAAAAGCTCTACTCACTTTTCACTCTCAGCAAGCTGTGTTAGCTTATCAAGCAGAAGTCGCCAGTAGACCGCAAGTGGAAATGACTACAAGAGATATGGTTGACGCTTTATCAGTTTTCACTCTCCAGATGGATTATCCATCTCTGAAGGATTTTCAGCATGTCTTAATCTGATTTCAGAGCAGTGTTCATTTTAGACATCAAATAATCCATCTGACTTTGTCTGTCTATTTATCCATTTAATTAGGTGGATTTTGAGACAGTTTTTCTATTTCAAGTGTGAACATGACATCATCGTCATTCAACCTTGAACACTGCTTTTATTATTCTGGTTGTTAGTTTCCTCACAATAATACACTGTAGCTCAACAGAGAAGCGTGACATCAAATTCAAATTTGTGAAATTGTGGTATTGGTTAGCATATTCAGAAAAAACAAGGTGAAAAAAAACCCTAAATGCCAAAAATCAACCTGTCAGTGCTAATTGGTAAAGAGTAAGTGGGTAGATATAAGCACCAGTTTTCTCTGATAACTTCATACAAATTCATCTATACTTGCCTTGCATAATGTTGCTTATATCTGATCTGACCAACTTGCACCAACAAGCTGAATTTTTGTAAGTGAAAATTTTTCATCTTGTCCTTTCTGGATATGCCAACCAATCCCTTAATTTCACAAATTTTGTAGTATTTGTGACGTCATCACTTCTATTCTCTATTTGGACATTTAGAAGTTAATTTTTAAATTTGGTTATTCCGAAAAGCATTTGGTGTGAACTGTTTAAGCTGATTCATACTTTGTTTTCACCTTCAAACCTTTTGAAAGAAAAAATAGTGCTTTTAAGGGTCATTCTATTCTTTCGAATATTCGAATGTTGTCCTTGATTTTTTATTTTGGGCTGTGTTGGGAGTAAAAGAGTTAATTGTGACCTCCCACAAAAATTTATCAAGAAAATCCCTAAAATGTTATCAATAGAGCTACGAAATTTCTTGCTAATGTTATGGGGTTTTTTGCCAAGTATTATTTTCAGGATAATTGCAATATTGAATTGATGCTTAGTGTTTATTGTATCGTAGGGAGATTTTATTTAATTAATTTATAAAATCAAATACAATATATGGTATTTTAGTCAAAACAAACAACTTTACAGTGTTTTATCACATAAATACATGTAGGTCATAGCTTTTCCAGTTATGTTTTATCTTAAGTTTGTTGAAGCCATTGTTAAAGAATCACTGTGATTTTATATTGATCTTGTCTTAATTTAACAGCTGCAGAAATAGACGAAACTTTCTTCTCGCTGTTAATTTTAAAACGAAATTGTTCAATGTAACGCATCCAAGTTCATGTAAAGAGGCTCCAATAGTGTGTTGTCAAATCTTTGTTTACAATTTATTTTATCGCCATTACAGTGTACAGCATCTAGCAACAAAATTGTGATTATTGGAAGGTGTAGTATGATAGCCTTTTTATGGAATTTTTGTCTATGGTTAAAGAGATATTCCTTTTGCACTGTGATGTGAAGCCTAGGAAAACAGCCGACATTTTTGCAATGCCACCAATGGTTTCCCCGCGACATGACGTCTGAGAAACGAGCGCAGAAATTTCGTAGTGCGTTCGCTCCTCAGACTTCATGTCGCGGGGAAAACAGTAATTGCGTCGCGAAATGTTGGCCATTTCCCCAGGCT